AATGAAGAAATGGAAATCCAAAGTCTCTGTCAATGTTCATTAAAATTATTAAAAAAAAAAAAAAAGAAATGTGCAAAGCACTGGGACCAATAGTTGATTTAAAAAAAAATAGATATAATTACAGATACAAGAGAAAAACATGGATATAGACACAAAGGAGAGTGTCTGATGATGGAAAAAATTGCTACAACATCTGATAAGATGAACTAAAAAACTCCACACTTAACTCTACAGTGACCACCAACGTACAAAATATCTCACTTCATGAAGTATAAACATTGGTGGACACTTAAAAATTGACTTGAAGAGGCAGGACTACTCTGCTCAAACAGCTGACATGTACCTGTGCTCTCACATCACTCTAGACCTGATGTCAGAGGATAAGCATTTCCAGTAATCTTTATCATCTTAACAACTACTTATTTTCATTTGTATAAGTTCATCTTGCTAAATCCTAATCTTAGCAGCTTAATGAAAATAATGTCAGAGATTAGAGTATATAAATAATTACAAGCCAATAATAATGAGAGGGTACCAGTAAAATTCTCAGAATGAACACAGGGCAAATAAAGATCAAGTCATTAGTGTTATACCACCTTTTAAATAGAGAAAACTACAAATCAACCCCAGGAAAAGAAAAAAGTTTGATCTCTCCACCTTAAATAAATTATCTAAGAGCAGGCCTGCACTGAAAACAGAGAGTTTAATTTTATTTATTACTTACTGCTACTTTCATCTCCATACTTATAAATACAAGTTGGGTTTGCAGGACATAAAGTTGAGAAGGTTGGAGGAACAATATCCAATATACGCTGATGGTAAGACAACCTACAATACAAATAAAACCTCGTGAAGTATCTTTTATCAGTTCTACTTTTCAATAACATTTTATCTGGAAAAGCAAAACCTCCAATACCCAGAATGCAGCTAATACTCAAGAAAATAAAGGGGGAAAATAAATTCTGTAAGCATTTGTCTAAGCCAGCAGACCCAAGCTTAGGTTTACTTCCAAACTGCAGCAAGATGTGAGTCGTGAGTTCATCAGCCTGATAGTCAGGATTTGGGCTGCTGATGGTAGGAGTCTGGGGAGCTGTGCAGCAATGTGAGCTACCCTGGCAGCCCAGAACATACAGGGCAGTGGGAAGAGATCCTCTGAATGGTTTAGAGACCAATTATTAATTGTATTAATAAGCAAATCTTGATAATGGGAGAAAGGTTTCATTGTGGCTGAAAAGGTATTTCTAGTCATTGCAAAGGGAAGGCAAGAAAGAATGAGATACTGAGTTAGAACTGAAGGGACTAAGGTGAACTGAGGTTATGTGTACATGTTCACTAAACAGACCTAGAAATAATGACATCTCAATAACGGCAAGAACATCATGTGTCCAGATCTTGGTTATTAAATGCCACACTGTACTACAGTGGGAAAGGAAAACACAGGATGAGCCAAGAACATTTTGTTTCAGAAAATGTGGAACTGCTCAAAGAATGATGGGAATGATGAGAGAGAGAGGGGAGAGGGAAAAGGGCACTAAACGTTGGACAAATCAGGTTCAAATGAGCACCAAAATAAATGATAACAGTAAGGGATATAGTATACTGATGCAATTAAAAAAGGGGGGCAAAAAGAAGTTTTATATTAGTCTGCGAGCTGGAAAATGTAGATGGAAATGGAGTAATAGAACAAAAGAATTGCCATCTGGTAATTGTCATAATGATGGGGATTGTGGCGGCTAAGGCTATTGGGGGAAGGCCAATGAACAGGATTCTCGGGTAACCTCTGAACATGTTCCACAAAATACTACTAAATTACAAAAGGGAAAAATTGTGAATTTATGGTGGAGGAACATGGCAGACACTGACATATAAGCCAGAGATAAAGGCTTTCGTCACAGTGGTGGAATTCCTATGTCTCCTATACTGACTATGAAGCACCAATAATGCAGGACCCAGGTGTGGTCATGAGGAAGTATCAGGGCAACTCAGTGAAGGTTTATACTCTTTAAAACTGATCAGGACATGAGAGACAGATAAAGAATACCAAAGAAGTCAAGACTGAAGGTGTGTGAAGAGAATGACAAATGTGAGACATATTCCTGGAAAGAATTTTGAACCAGAAAAGAAGTCATTGTTGCAGTGAAGCTGACAAAATATTAATCCCTTTGTCAACTGTATGGACATATTGTGCCAAAACAGATGCCATGATTTGGAGGAATATATTTTGGTTACACAGAAGAGTATCTTTGTTTTGGAAACATACATAATAGAAATGAACAGTGACCAAGATACTGTGCTGCAACACACCTTCTAAAAGTTCAGAAAGAGATCACTGATGGATGAAAAAGAAGGGAAAAGAGTGCTAGAGGAAATGCAGCAAAACCTTAACAACAAAGGAGTCCAGGTACAGAAAGTGGGGTTCTTTATACTATTCTGAAAACTTTCTATACATTTGAATTATTTCCAAGTATGATATTAAAAAATTTTCTGTTTTGGTTCGCAGGAGAATCCAGATAGCAATGGGTGCTTAATCTTTTCAGCTTAAAATGGAATACCATGCAGCACTCAGGAGCAACAATTTAAAAAATACTACATAACTTGGAAGAGACTGGAGAGCACAAATACTGCATAAGACTATTGTTGTATGTGAAGGATTACTAGTAAAGTATATATGTGGATACAAGAGGGGAAGGGGTGGGAGTGGAAGGATGAGGATGGGTAAGGGGCAAACCACAGGGTTTCGGAGTTTGGTGGGTAGAAGGAAGAGGGGAAACAAATGGGAAAGATGCAGTGGGGACCTGAAAAGACTACCTAATGATGGACAAGGTCCAATGGTGATTGATTTTATAATACATGATGCATGGGAATGACTGTATGAAACAAAATATGAATAAAGAAAGTGTGAGACACAATGTACATTAATTTTGAGAGCAAACTTATACAAAATTTTTAAAAAAAACCCATTACTTAAAAAAAATGGAGATGCAAATATTTGTATTTTTAAAAAATTATATTCTGGATACATATCACTCATGTGTGGAGGAGAAACAACCTGCTATGTTAGGAGACCTAAATTAAAGAAGAGCAAAGACTTTACCTCATACATTTTTCCAGTACTTCTCTTACAAACTTTGGTTTGGGAGTTTCACAATCTTGAGTAAGACAATCTGACCTAATAGGAAATGAAGTTTTATGAATTCTTACATAAAATTAGCACTTATAGCTAATTGTACCTAATCACAAAGAGCTTCCTTCTACTTAAATTATTTATAGTTAAATAAAACATCAAATCACATAATATTTCAGATGATGAAGCCGGCTTCCATGTTAAGAGTTTTAAATATGAACAGTTTTAAAGAAACTGTTAGAAAGTGCAGAGGAAGAATAAAACAAAAACCACAACTTACCAATCTTCCCAACTCCAGCGGAATTGGAAGTTACTTAGATGATGAGAAAACCAATTAATAAACCTGTATTGAAGGAGGGTGGGCAGAAGAGGATAAGTAGTGCAATTTATAACAGAACTTAAATAGTACTCCAAACATTTAAAAAAACAAACCAACAACCTTATTTTATATGAAAAGTGCACCCTCCTAATATGGATTTATCCTTTCCATGCAAATATTAACTTTTTCCCCTTCAAAAATTAAGTCTTCTACCTCATTCCTTCAAATAGTACTATTCTTCCTAAGCAAATAACATTTGTATGTCTATTTTGTGCCAGGTACATTATGCTTACAGAACTTAAATCTCACTGTATCTTCCAAGAACTAATTTCTCCTATAGTAGTAGACAATGAAACGGAGGCCAATAAAGACAAATACTATAGATAAAACCTAATGGCAGAACCACAGTATGTAACTGTTAGGTGCCAACGGGTCAGTTCTAACTCATAGTGAGCCTACGTGCAACAGAATGAAATCAGGCCTGATCCTGAGACAGTCGCACAATATGTGCTGTGTTTACTTGTCCCAGTCATTGTGTCAATCCATCTCATTGAGGTTTTTCCTTTTTTTTGGCTGACTCTCTACTTTTCCAAGGACTAGTCTCTCCTGATAATATACTCAAAATATGTGTGAGACAGTCTCACCATCTTTGCTTCTAATGAGCATTTTGTTAGTGCTGTGATGTGCCAATGAGTCTGAACTGACTCAGAACTGACCCTCCAGCTGGTTCTTAGATAGAGGAAACTGAATGGAAGGAGAAGCCCACCTTTCTCCCAGGGAGCAGCTGGCAGTTTCAAATTGTGTGCCTTTGGGTTGGCGGCAAAGCTAGCAGAGAACATGTTTGACTTCTGTATATTGTCCAATGCTATGAACTTTCTAAGAACCTGATAAGCATCTACAGAATACATGGTTTAGGGGAGCTCTGGTGGCCTAGTGGTAAGGAGCTGCAACTACAATCCCAGAGGCGCACGGTTAGAATCCACCAGATGCTCTGCCGGGGAAGGAGGGACAATCTCCTCCTGTACCAGTCAGATCTGATTTGATGGTATACTCACACAAAAATAATAAAATAAAATTTAAAAAAAAAGAATACATGGCTTAAGGGGACTGTCCAGTACAACTAGTCGTTTCAGGAAGTAGAATAGGACAAAAATCACAGATTTCCTAGAAAGGAATCACTCACATAATTTTTATTTCAATCACTGAAACTACTCACAATAAAAAGGTAATTACATAGGATGGTCCTTAATATTTTTTTAGTTATGAAATGTTAACAATGACTATGAAAAGATCACTGACAATAAAGAAAAAAGTTTAGTATCTATTCTGGTCCAATTTGGAAACTGACAGAGATAATAAAGAATTGGTTCCAGATCACCATAAGAAAACAAATGCCAAAATTAACTGAATCACATGATTTTTTGTTACATATGAAAGTTATAGATACACTATACTGTAGAGTATTAAGTGTAAACAGCATTATGAAAAAGCTTAAAATATTTTGAGAATTATAAAAAAGTGACCTAGAGAGCACATACTGTTGGAAAAGGGTGTTAACAGACTTGCTTGATAAAAATTGCTTCAAATTTCAATCTGCCAAAAAAATGCCGTCTCTATGAAGCACAATATGAAGCAACAAAATGAGGTACTAAAGATGGTGACTCGGATCTCTCCCAAACTGTGACTTCAAAGGGGCACCCAATTATCAGAGCTATAAAATTCTAATATGATCGTTTTGTGTAAACTTAGTCTTGGAGTTGCAGACTTAACAAGATTTTCAATGTAGAAGTTATTTTAAAATTAGGCGTGTATATGTAACTATATATATAGATAAATACACACATAAATAAAAATGCATACATAAATGGTGTAAAATATACGACATAAAACTCTTCTCCTCCGGACCTGGGGGAGGGTTTGTAAAACAATGAAAGAATCTTTTCTTTTACTTTTCCATAATTTTTGGACTCATGTACTTATAACTTGTTAGTCAAATTTGTGTCTTCTAGGTTGCAACACCCCCATGATACATCTTCAAGGATATGTACATGCACAGCCAAGCACAATCAATAAGAGTGCATCTGAATTCCAAAATCAATCTCCATAATAGTCTATGTGTTTCCTACTGCCAAAGGGGCCCTTTAGAGTAGTGAGAGAAGATCTTCACCCTGAAACCCACAGCGTCCCTTTTCAGCAGGAAGTAGCTAAGAGAATACACCGTCCCCTTTTCCTTATGACTCAGGGTGAAGTCTCTCTCAGGGAGGAGTGATAGGGAATGGCAAAGGATACACTGACAAAGAAGATTAATCAGAACAGGCTTTGACAAGCACTGTGGCATTTGGACAAGAACAAACTGGGAGGAGGGTAGAGAGAATAGTGCAACAATGAATGAGTGGAAGCCCAAAATCTCTGTAAATGTTTATGAAAATTAATAAAATATAATTATAGAAAAAAAAAAAAAAAAAAACTCTTCTCCTCCATTATTTAACCTATTTTAAAAGCATTGTGTGCTGCTGAGTTGGGAATGACCCAGAAATGACCCTCCAGGGAGTTTTCAGAGACAGAAATAGCAAAGGAGGAGACTTGACCATCCTTTTCCTGTAAAGCAACTGGTGAATTTGAACCATGTGCCTTTGGGATAGCAGCACAGCCCTTATCACTAGGCCACCAGAGCTCTAGCTCATAATCAATTACAGGGAGAAAAAGAAAACTCCATCAAAGGACTAAACACTTAAACAATGAATTAAATGGTAAAAACCTCACTGTGGATATTTAATACAGAAAATTCACCGGAAAACATGTTTTATTCTTGGGAAATGTATTATTTTGGAGATGTGACTAAGAAAAAAATCACCTTGGGAATTCTTAAAAAGGCCAATGTGTTGCTAACCAAATTGTGTTTCAAGATAAAGAAAGAAAAATATAAGAACACTTGGTCTGGAAATAAAGCAATCACTTACCTGTCTACACATGTAGTATTCATTGTGTCCAATCGCATGTATAACATTTCAGTTGCCTGTGCAAGCTGTGAATCGGAAATTAAGGAAAAACTACCTTCCCCTAAAGTATAGCAGAAAAACCAAGAATGCTTCCTAAAAGTTTTTACAATAACTAAGAATTCAGAAGGTCTTTTTATGTAATTGACCTCTTCCCCCCCCCCTTTATTGTAAAATAGATTATCTTGGTGAGTAAGAAAAAAGTAATTTGGAAATCTTGAGAAGACAAATGTCTTGCTAACCAAATTGTTTTCTAAGACAGAGAAGTTAACACTTGAGGAATTCCTGATACATAATAAATGTGATTTGTATACATCTGTGAAAATGAAAAAATTCTCCATGCTTCTGGAGCAGATATCCATTTATTTATTAGTGTTAGAACACTGTTTTTATAAGCAATACTTAGCAGGTTTTCATCAGTCAAACAAACCTCTAACCTCCAGGAGATCTAAGAAAGGCCATGTTAGCTTAGGAGGAGATGACTTCCCCCATTCTCTCTTCACTGTAAAACTGAAAATACCAAGCTTCTTCATAATATTTTCTTGAAGTTCTTTAACAAAACAGTGGTATATTTACAGACATATATGTTTCAGACACCCACATGCATATGGACAATCGCCTGTGTGATCTACTGCCTCTGAAAACCTGCTAGAGTCAGCGATGAGCTGGTTTCAACTGACAGCATGAACTGAATATGTTAATATATATACATATATTACAAAAACTGTTTCTGAATTGAAAGCTTTTAATCTGGAAGCAGAAATGTCAGTATTTTAAAGCCAACAGCCAAAAAGAGAAAGTTTAAAAACAAACACAAGGATACAACTTGAGGCAGAGAACCAGGCTGAAGTCTGCAAAGTTCAATGAGAAGTGTTGTGTACATCACATCAATGTGTGGGGGAGCTGGAAGCTGAAAAAGCTCTGCAAAAATCACCTAGAAAAGAATCATGAGTCAGAACTTATCAACTAGCTATGCGCTCCCACTGCCAGAAGCCCTCAGCATGCTAAAGCCTGACTCTAACTGCTCTGCATTCAAATGGGGAAAAAAAGAGAGAATTACTTTTTAATTTTTAAAATGGCATCTTTTAAAATACAAAGATCTACATTTCTATAATTCAGTAGTATACAAGATCAATGCTCACTTGGCCTATACTCTAAAAGTATACAATTTGAACTTTGGAGCTATCAAAGTTGATTCACACAGCAAGAGGAACTGAGGAACTCACTAGTGTCATTACAATTTCATTACTACGAGTAATAAGAACACTTATTAGAAGGTAAGGATGGGAAACAAGATTATCAACTAACTCGTTACATACTGTAGCACACATAATTTTAAAACAGTTACCCAAAAATTCTCTTGGCAGTTCAAGATTTCTTTGTCTTATCATCTGCTCAGAAACTATTGCTTTCCACCCTCTGAATGTAATGGTCAGATCAGGTGCCTGTAACTGTAAGCTTTGGTCTATATTCCCTGCTCTCACCACTCCCTATGACCCTCCCTTTCCTGTACTTCAATATGATGGATTTCTACATATCTTGCAAAATAAAAACATCACTTGAAATTTTACTCTACAACAGATAGATTACTGAGTCAAATTTATACCCTAAGCATATTCTCAAGTTTTGTAAAGAAAGGATAAATACAAACTTTTTTAAAAAAAACCCAAAACCATGCAAATATAAATTAAATCTTAGTAACACATCATACCTATGTCTATGTACTCTATTTCATGAATACTTTAACATATTTAACACATTTGATGAATTCTATCCCCATGAGTACCAAGTGAAAAACTTGGTTTTGGGGCATATAAGTCTCTGTACAAGTTGTTTAATAGAACACTAATATTCTGTTGCTTTAATATGGAGTCAAAAGCAATTCTACTGTTATTACTTGCAAATCACCTCCCTCCTTTGACTTCTAAGTATATATAAGGGTTCATACTTCTCCTTACCTGTAACATAGGGAATAATATACTCAGGAGTATGTGGTAAGAATGTCAGATGAAAACAGTTAAAAGTAGGTTATCTGCCTAAAATATATAAATGTTCAGAAGTATTTTAAGCAACTTACACAATCATTATGTGGACAATGTGCTGTTAGAGCTATAAGTAACTTACATTACCCTTGATAACTTTCCGTGAAAGAAGACATACTATATAAACATTATGCCAAGTAACTCAAAATTCCATTTTGACTAGTAGTTTCAACCTTCTCTTTACTAATTAATACAGCCGAGACAGCACCAAAGTGACAGCAATTTCCTTGCTCTTCTGTTACTTTTCAGTGTGTGACAAGTATATTTTGGGGGGTGGAGGAAGCACCAAGAATAGACTGTACTTTAAAGGCAAACGATAGATTCTGAAACTTTGAAATGTGTTATGCATACCTCAACTATGTGGTAGTTCAGGGGGATCTTGTTCTTTCCTGGATAGCTTACTAGCTGTGCAGCACTGTAAAAAGTGTAAATCACACTTAGTAAGTAAACAAAAACACATGAATAATCAAAACTGTTTCAAAAGCAGTATGTTTCGATATAATAAAGAAGTCTCTTCTGCAAAGTTCTGTATTTCAGTTGGTTTACTTAATTATGGCCAAACTGTTCTACAAGGAAATTTCCAATGCAAACAAAATTCCTTGGAAGATCAAAGCAGTCTGATAATACTAAAGAGTGATAGGGCATCTATCAACTTTAAATGGCAAATACCTATACAAAGAAGCCTGCACATATGTACATTATTATGAAGCACCTAGAAAAGGAGTATATGAAGGTGAAGAGATAGACATTAGTCATAAGAAGACAGGGAGTCAGAAAGAGAGGAATTCTTATATTCTTTACACAGACATCATTAGAAGCTCTAGTCGTCCAATAGGTTAAGTGTTTGGCTGCTAACCAAAATGTTGGTGGTTCGAACTCACCCTACTCCCTAGGCAAAAGACAAGTCAATCTGCTTTTACAATATGTGTAATAGTCTCAGAAACTCCATGGAGAGTTCTACTCTACTGGGCCTCCATATGTCAGAGTTGAACCTATGAAAGTAGGTTTCTTGTTAGGTGCTATCAAGTACAACTCATAGCAGTCCTATGAACAGGAAGGAGACCTGAGCTCTGTCCTATCCTGTGCTGTCCTCATTGTCCTTGATTTACTTGAGCCCACTGCCGCAGTCACTGTGTCAATGCATCTTGTGAAGGGTCTTCGTTTGCTGATCCTCCCTCCACCTTTCTAAGCATGCTATCCCATTCCAAGGAATAGCCTTTCCTAGGCACATGCCCAAAGTATGAAAGGAGATAGGTTATACATATTATTTAGTTTCGAACACATAACCAAAACTTCTCTCAGAGCGTACCATGAAAATAATCTTACCAAGTCTTTCTTTCCTTCCAGTGGGACTTAATGATACAGTGAAGATTTTCTTCTATCACAAATCTTTCCACAGAATGACTTCCTGGCATAACAGGACCCTGGAAGAAAACAGAAATGTACACATTTACAGATATAGAAAAAGTATTTTCTTCCACTGGTATCAATAAATACTTGAGTGCCCATTATTCCCTCAAGAAAAGCATTAAGTTTAGCATTATGGATAATAATTTTGAAGATTTAAGACTCTGTATTTCAGCAAATTTCAATGTGCTATTTATTTACATCTACAATAAAATCAGATTGCTGGTTTCAATGTCCATCCTATTACACACCATACCTACCTATCAGTTCACATAACAATTAGCTGAAACAAACAATGAATATATGTTAAAGGCCTTTTATAGTTTATTTTAACCTTGAGATTTCATTACTTTCCTCATAAATGCAGACAGAAGTCACTGAAAGATGTCTACAATAGATCGTTTTTAAAAACCTGCAAAATATAATCTACCCGATGTTTAAAAAATATATGCCTAACCAAGAGGTTCAGTATATAATGGGGCTCGTAATGATGACTCTGCAATCTCTACATGTTTTAAATAAACATCTTTAACAGCTTGTTGTTGTTATGTGCCATCGAGTCGCTTATGACTCATAGCAATCCTATGTACAACAGTCCTAAACCCTGCTCTATCCTGTGCCAATTGCAATGCCTATGACACACCCATCCCGATTATCCCAGTCACGAAATCAATCCACCTCATAGAGGGTCTTCCCCTCCTACGCTGTCCCTCCACCCGTCCAAGCATGATGTCCCTCTCCAAGGAGCTGTCCCTCCTTACAACATGGCCAAAGTATGTCAGATGAAGCCCCAGAATCCTTGCCTCCAAGGAGCAGCCTGGTTTAACCCTCTCCAGGATCAATTTGTTTGTTTTCTTGGCAGTCCATGGTATATTCAATACTCTTCTCTAGCACCACAGCTCAAAGGAATCAATTCTCCTTCTATCCTCCCTAGTCATTGTCCAACTCTCTGATGCATAACAAGTGATTGCAAAGACCACAGCCTGTATCAGACATACTTTAGTCTCCACAGTGACACCTTTGCTCTTCAGTACCCTGGAGAGGTTCCCTAACAGCAGACTTTCCCATTGCAATACGTTTTTTTGATTTCCTGGCTGCTGGTGTCAAGAGTGTTGACCATGGAGCCGAGCAGACTAAACTTGTTAGCAATCTCAATCTCTTCACCATCCATCCTGATGGTGCCAATTGGTCCAGTGGTTAGAATCTTTGTCTTCTTGACACTGAGCCTCAATCCATACTGAAGGCTGCAGTCCTTGACCCTGTGCTACAAGCACTTCAGGTCCTTGTCAGATTCAGCAAGCAGGGTTGTGTCATCTGCATAATGCAGACTATTAACAGATCTTCCACCAATCCTGACACCACACTTCTCCTTATAGAGCTCAGCCTCCCGATAATCTGCTCTGCATACAGGTTGAAAAGGTATGGAGGTAGGACACATCCCTGGCGTACACCTTTCCCAATTTTGAACCATGCAGTGTTTCCCTGCTTTGTTCTGACGAATGCCTCTTTGTCCAAGTATAGGTTTCACATTAGCACAATCAAGTGTTCTGGGATTCCCATTCTTCTCAGAGTCAGCCACAGTTTGTTATGATCCACACAGTCAA